TGTTTTAAGGTATTTACGAAGCTGTTCTCTGTGTTAATGTACGTGCAGAATTTTGATCCAAAGATGTACCCACTAACGTGTGAACAGGTTTCAGAATTTCTTTTTTGGTTGGGCATGGTATATGGGGAGTGAGTTTCCGATATGAAAAATGAAGTGCAAAAAAGAGACAGTTACCAAAAATAGTACCACCCACCCTTCCACCACCACCTCCCCAGCACAGCATTGTCTGTATATTCCAGGTAAACCCAAGCTGCTTCTCATGGAGTTACTGAGAATTCTCTACTGTTTTTGAAGATAGAGTAATAAATAGAGCTGTAAAATCTATATTGGTCACAAACAACAAAATAAACGGTTTGTCCTGTAAGGTAGGATGTAGATATGAGTTATGCAGATTTATGTTTAGCGATTCATCCTGTTCATATTCATCTTTCCTGTCTATTTGAGGGGTTAAATGTCTCACTAGGGCTTTGACTTCACCACAGATTGAAAATACCCACAGACAATGAAGTGAATATTTGGTTCATCATACAGTTATCAAAAAATCTGAAGTCATTTCAGCAATGTTGCCAGTCGTTTTTAGCATTAAATGATTAAAAGATGTTTTTTTCTAGTTTTGAGGCTTAGTCACACCCTTTATTTTCTTTCCACTTGTGCTCACTTCTTTTGCTTGATACTGGTTTGCAATTGAAATGAAACTAAGACTGCAAAGGTGAAATATAAATCTGTTTTCCTAGTTACTTTGCATTGCTTAAAAATAAAAGGTTTTTGTGTTGGAGGGGAAGAAGGTAAAGGAAGATTGGCTTTTGGGTTGGTTTGAGGTCATTTATCTAGGTTATTCAAGTCCCCCAGAATCATAGGTACTTGGGACAATGAATACCTAGAAAGGACTAGTATCTGGTAACATAGGAAGCAGGGGATAGAAGTCAGGACTTACAATTTCTTCTATTTTTTTTTCTAAAATCCTTCTCATAATTTTTAACCACTGGAATAAATTCCTTAAAAGTAGAAATATAAGAATATCAACAGTCATGAGAATTTTTTGTTTGTTTTGTTTTGTTTTGTTTTTTAATTTTTTTAGAAAGAGGGAGCTACATGAAGCTCTCATTCCCTCAATGTGGGATTCTCCTGTCACTTGAATGCAAGTTTCTCTTTTCTTTTAGAATTGCATTTGCTGCAAGTTATTTCTTGCCCAAGTTCCTCGGATTCGAAGTCCATTGGATGGTGGCTTTTCGGAGTGGTTCTCTTTGCCTGGTTAGGTTTATCAGCTGAATCAGATGTTTTTCTGCCCATCCATTGAAGATGCTACAGTCCTCCCATGTGTCGTGGAGATGGAATGCTATTATTACATAGTGTGTGTAATAAAGGCCTGTACGTGTGGACATATGTGCTTTCTCCCCCTTCTCCCGTCCTCCCTCCCCGGTGCTTGCATATACATGGCCTTTGTAAATGGCAGAGACTTAAATGCAGGGTGGTCTCAGTAGAAGGTAACCTTTCCTTGCTGGGCACTTGTGTATGCAATTGGTACACAGTCACTTTCCAAGCTAAAAAACGCTTGAGAACAAGCAACACTTTTTCCATGAAGCTGCAAGCTGCAGCCTCCTTGTGCTGTGCATATAAAGTACCTGGCCCGCCCACCCCTTCTCTAGATCAGAAACCAGCTTGGTCATGGGGCTTCCTAAAACCCCCTAAAGCATGGACTGCGTCTTCTGCTCTTCTTGTTCTTTAAAGACTTGGACATCACTCTAGTACATTCCAATGCCTGAGAAGCCCCTGTTGCATTCCTCAAATGTGAATTGTCTCTGTGGAATTGTCTCTGTGGAAAAGTAAAGCAGAAATGAGCATGTTTGGATGAGACTGAAATAGCCCTTTGCTAGTAAACATTATCTTGTAAATTTCTTTCAGTAGCCTTTACTGTTTAATCACCAAATGGGAAATATCCGAGGGATGGTCTTTGAAATTGTACAGTTTAGGGAATGTCCACATGTTTTTGTGACATTACGATCACATCGTATTTATCAAACAACAATAAATGTTTCTCTTTTGTGTTTATTTTTTTAAAACAGAGGTAAATCACATTGAGTGTTGTTTTTGCTCTCTACAAAGGGTCTTAGGCTTGGCTGACATACTTATATTTTAATCAATAAATAAAAGTTTTGCTTTTAGTGGGCACTGGTGAGGATCACATAATAAACCGACCAGGTGCCAGTCACCTAACCTATATCAACTAATCCCTTAACTCCCCCAGGCGAGCACGCTTGCCCCAAATTTCACAGCTAGTAGGGCGCAGAGCCAGAATCCAGTCCTAGGATTTGAAACTTATGCTGAGATTACTTGACATTGTTGCCTCCCCAAACTCCTTTCTCTGTGTGGCCTCTGTGCTGTCTGCTCCCCTTGAAGTGTCTACATTTAAGCTATTTCTCCCCTCTCCTTCCTCACCCTTCCCCCAAAGATGATGACTAGGCTCTGAGTATGAGTACAAAATAATCATTCAGGGCTGTGTTTTACTGTATCAAAGCCCGTCATGTAATCCCCGAAAAGTGGAAATATGATGCTATGGTGATTTATGTAGATGGGCCAAAGTAAGGAAAAGTATATGTAGTTATCTCTCCCGGGTTTATTCATGTAATTGGAATAGGAACAAGGGTGTTTTGTTCTTTTTGTGGCAGGAGCTGATAGCCGGCAACCACACTTTGCTAAACTCCAAGAAATGGAAGAGAGCTGTGAATGCTTCATTCAGGCCCAAGTAAATGTAGGAAAAGGTGCAGTGGTGTGTAGAGTACCTATTTAAAAAGACATTCGACAAGTAATAGGATGAGGGAAGGTATGATATGTTAGTTGGGCAATGGATATACCTTGAGCTGAAATGAAATACAGCTATCATGGATAGGAGATCTGGATATGGAAAAGGAGTAATAGAAAAACATCAGGGGCAGTAAAAGCAAATGAGAAGTGAGGTGGTTTATGTATTGAACTAATGTCCAGTATCGCTTTGACAGAATTGAATAACACTTGTCAGTGTCCTTTCTGAATGTTCTGCATTGGACAGGTGAAGAAATCCTGATTTTCTATTATTAATTACGTAACGAGGTCATTTTATTATAACAGTAGTTCAACTGGCTTGTGGGTGCATAAGAAAAACAAACTCTGGTTACTAAATAACGTTCGTATTGCCTTTACCTTTGAAAGCAAAGGTAGGGGCTTCTCTGCTTGTAAGATAAACATTCTGCATTACACAATGAAAGTCCTTTGAAGTAAAGATGCCAACTGATTAAAAAGCAAAGCAGGCTTTTGTTTCCCTCCTTTTCTCTACTACCCATTATAAATTCTAAAGTCTCTTTTTGTATTTTATGTTTTAGCCACGAGACCCAAACAACTTGCTGGGACCATCCTAAAATGACAGAGCTCTACCAGTCTTTAGGTAAGGATATGGCCATGTTTCTTGCTAGTTAAATGACAGAGGACTTTTTATCATAAAGTAGTTTGTAGCATGCAAGTCATTTGTTGTCTTAATATATCACTAGATGCTTAAAAGGTGAAAACAACTCCTTTCCGTCCCAAACTGACGATCAGCTTTCTTTTTTTCAGAAGTTCCTTAAAAATAAATTTTAGAATTTCATTGATTTCTAAAACTTCAGTATACATGACAGGGCCAAAAGGTCTTTGTAATTTTCTTTGATGCCTAAAAGAGTGGAAAAAAAATACTTGCAGTTTATGACAACCCCCCCCACCGCCCACCGCCCACCAAGAAAGAAAACTGTTTCAAGTTTGCTCTTACTGATTTCTTCCTTGCGAAACCAAGACAACGCTTTGCCAAACCACTTGTGTAAAGGAATTTTCTGCAGTCTTTCCAGTGCTTATAATTCCTAAGCCAGCCAGGTCATCAGTGTGAACATTTAAATGATTTCTTTCCTATGGCTTGTTTGGTATTTGTTTGAGAGCCTGACAGTTCTTTTTCCCCTCAAAACTTGGACTTTTTTGAAGAGATACACAGCCTCTAAATAAGAGGAAAACACCAATTTTTTTCATGCTTGATAGAAGTCCACTCTATACCAATTTAGTTTAATCAGAAATAATCTGAAATGAATTCTGTTACGTCATAACTAGTTGTAGTTGTTCTTAGTAAAAATAAATAGTCATGTCTTCTCTACTAAACATTTTTTCAGTCTGCTGTTTTGCGAATGGACATATTTACAGATAAAAATGCATGAAGGGAACTGTTCGGGTTTAAAGTTACATGACAAAGCCCACGGGAATCAGGGTGCTTAAACATAAATTCTGCGTATGTATCGTGTTTGTCTGTCTGTTTGTAGCTATTACTGTCTTTCTGTCATAGATTCTCATTGGTTCATGTATTGCATCTATAGAGATTGAGAAATGGGGTAGGAGATATTAGCCAAAAAAAATGGTTTTCCTAAACTTTTTCTACTTATAAATGATTTATTCCTTCTAGAAAATCTGAAAAACACAAATAAAAGCATGAAAAAGAAAAGTCACATAATTCTACTAGCCAGATGTATCTAGTACATTCCAAGTAATATTTTGCCATTTCAGTCTAGCAGTCGAGCAGTTAGTGTATGTGTGTACGCATGCACATACGTACACAAATACACTTTTTAAAATTTAAAGAAAATTGAGATCAGCTAAATTTCAAGTGCTGTGTTTCAACCCCTGTGGAATTTTCCTGGCTTATAATGCTGCACTGTTTAGACCACAGGTGGAAAACTCGAATGCTTATATTTTGGCAAATTGGAGAATGAAGGGTTCATCCGAAGTGGGCAGTGGCTGTGTTGGGCAAGCTAAGGGGTCTAGTCCAGCACTCTCAGGCCTTAAGACTTTTCAAGAGAAACTAGAAATCTGTCAATAAAGAGCTAATTTAAACTTGTCTGTGGATCTCCTGATTTTATAACCTCTAGTTTACACAAACTCAGACCACTTGTAATTTCCACTCTAATCACAATGATCTCTAATTGTAATATTTTAATTTATTTTAAAATTACTGTAGAATTAATACTTGTTCACTTTTTTCATTTAAAAATATAGACAAGCTAAAAACGAAGAAGAAAAAACAAATCATCTATAACCCACCTCTCAGAGTTAACTGATGTTAATAATCTAGTAGGCACCTTCAAAAATTTCTTTTCATACGTATGTTTTTACAAAAGTTGAATCATTCAGTTGTATAATCAACTTTTTTTCACCTAAAGTTAATATACTATGGCCACGTTTCCATTTCATTGCCTTGCATTCTCTACCAGCTTACTTTTTGAGAAATCACAAATAGTGATGATAAAAAGTGAATTATGAACTATCAATGAATAGGTGTGTTTGTATCCTCAACAGAGATTAAATACACTTTAATCATATTTCTAAAGTTTTCTCAGTAGGTCAAGTGTGGTGGTAAACTCAAAGCTGGTATTCCGGCATGATTTGTAACCTTGGACACATCACCTGACTTTGGAAGATAATGGAATTTTACAGTTTCAGGGGAATTTAGAGCTCATTCACAGACTTTTTTGGATGAAATCAATTTTATTGAAGTAATTTACATATAATAAAATGCAGCCATCATAAGTATACGTTCAATTCCCATCCCCCTTTGAAATTCTAGTTTTTGCTATCCTAATAAATAAACATTTTGGAAATGAACTAGATGCTGAAATTTGTTTTTCAGCTTTCAGAACTAATCTGCTAGTATTTTTCTTACAATCAGATATTCTTGGGCTAACTTTTATTTAATGATGACTCGTCAAATAACGTCTTACATTTATTGAGAATCGATTGTATGTGCTGCACATGTGACGTGTCAGCAACGGTCATGCATGGTGGATGATATCCACTGCCATATTTCACAGGGTAGTGAAGTCAGGTACAGAGAAACCATTTATCAGGGCTCCCTGGCTCTATGGGCCTACACTGGGGTTTGCTCTGGTCTCTGAATGTTTTCACTTTGATTTTGTTAACTTACTAATACAATTTTTAATGTCCATATAGGTTACTGTGCACCTGCTACAAATATGTACAAATGGACAGTTTTGTTTTGTTTTTTGTTTTTTCTTTTTTTTACCTATGGATAGACAGTTACTTGAGTGGTATTTCTAGAACTAGTATGTTGGGTTCCTAGACAGGAGACACTCCTCCCTCCACTATTGCCAGGAACACATGGAATTATTGTTAACGTGTTTCCATCCCTCAGATCATCTACAAGATTAAGTACCATTACTGCCCTTCCTACCCCCAATTATAGTGTTTCAAAGTTGGAATATAAGCATAACACACTGAAAAGAAACCTTTTTATTTCTTTTTTATTTTAAAATATTGGCTTATATTTTTTTAAAAAGATGGATGAAATGATTGGAAGCCTTCAACTACACTCAACTCATGAAAGGTATCATGGAAACCTGGTGTCGTCTGGTGTGATAAATGTTTTAGACCATCCTTAGGTCCTTCTCCTAATAGAACCTGAACCTCTTGTCTGTGGTGACATGTTGAAAATACCAACACATCGCTTATTCCCACCCGCACTCCAGACATGTTTCTACTGTAGAGGCTGCAGTGGTTCACAATACGCGTGAAATATTACACATTCCTAAATGTACCCACTTCTGAGGAGGTTTTCACTCTCTATTTTGTCAAAATTCCCAACCTGTTCACCATACTCTGTTACCTGCCTTGCCTCCAGAAGCATTCAGATATTCCTCCCTTAACCCATGGTCTGAACACTGTAGTATTATAAGCCAAAAATACTTTGTAAGGACTGAAAAAATAGCATTTGAGCATTAACTGATGGAAATATTACTTGAAATATTAATGTTGGAGATCTCTGGTTAATAGGATTCCAGGGGATTTTTTTTTTCATTCTTTTCCTGATTTGCTACATGAATTTATATTATTTATAATTACATATTTAACAAAAAAATTCTTCGTCAAAACTCCCTACCCCCATTCCTCAGTGTCCCTACAGCTATAATTGATTAACCAATGAGCACCTCTGACAGAAAAGCAGAAATAGACACACACACACACACACACAATTTATGTTTACCCTGATTTCCTTAGATTTATCAGATAAATTTAAACACAAGGAGATCTCATGCTTTGTTACTCTCTAAATATGTCTGTTCACAAAAATGCAAACTTAAAATTTTTTAATGGTAGAGAAGACGTCTAATTTTTTTGAATAAAAAAATGTAAAAGAATATTTCAGGTTATTCTCAACAGATCTAAAACATTGTGTGTGTGTGAGCTTTTATCAAATGTTAAAAAATACTTGTCTTTTCACCTTATTTTTAGGCTGCGTACCCATTCAAAAAATTCCGAGTTATAAGGGAAAAAATTGTCAGGCTCCAAACAAACAGAAAACAAGGCATATAGTAAAGAAATCATTTAAATGTTTACAATGACGACCTGACAGTCATTAGGAATTTCAGCATTGGAAAGTCTCCAGAAAATTTTTTACGCAACATTAACAGTTTGGCAGAAGCATTGTCTTGTTTCCACAAGAAAGAAATCAATAAGAATAAGTCGAAAACGGTTTTCTGTCAGCATTTTTCTCTGACTACCGCCACTGTGGTGGGGTGAATGGTATATACAAAACAAAGTTTCCAATATCTATTTTTATGAGGGCCTTGGTATCCTATCTTTAAAATTAGGGTATTGGACAAAAGTGTCTTAAGAATTTTGTTTTTCCCTTACTTTGGGCTAAGGTGGGGCAGGATGTTTCCAAAACTTGCTGTGATCATAATTTTTCAAGAAGTACCTTTGGCTGACTCTGCAGACAAACGGGTTCCTAAAAGTTTGATCATTCCTATTTTTAAAAATGCGCATTCTGGGAAAACAACAGAGAAGATCCTGCCACCTATCCAGGTCTTACAGGCAGAGCTGTTATCAAGTAGGGAGGCTCCTGAGATATTTCCCACAAGCCCACTGGGCCATCCATTTGTTGTTGAGAAGGCATATTTCTCATTGTTTCTTAGAAGTAATAATATGCTCAATTCATGAGGTGAATTTCAGGTTTCTTTCAGTTTGCTTACAAATGTAATGGAAGGATCATTGTTCCAATAGGTTATCTTGGTGATTTAAAACCTAAAGCTCTTTAACGCTCCAAAAGCCATTTACAAAATCAGTATATGTTAGCTAGTAATGTGCTCTGGAATTTATTTTGAAATACTTAATAGTATTGATTTATGTGAAGTGCCATTATATGATTAAAAGCTTGTCATTTTCTCACAATTTATGTCTAGGTTCTTAAGTTCATCACTGAGATTTTATGTAAACATTTTTAAAAGCACCCCCCCACACACATATATAATATGTGCTGCTTAAAAATACTTAAAGTATTTCTTAGTCTGTCTTATTGTGGGTATATTATTAATAAATACAATAAAATCTTTACGTGGTGCCCTCCATGGTTCCTCTCTG